TCTGTCTATCTATCTATCTATCCGTCTATCTATCTCTGTCTCTCTCTCTTTCTCTCTCTCTCTCTCTCTCTCTCTCTCTCTCTCTCTCTCTCTCTCTCTCTCTCTCTCTCTCTCTCTATTCCCATGCACATATTCACACATATATGCACAATATTATAATATTCTTTTTTACACACCTTTGCACATATTATTCCCAGCCGACCTTCACCCTCCTGGTTATACTAAAGACTCCTGCTATACCTAAGTATCACAATATTAATGCCTACAACGGAGGTCGACAAAGTCGTTCTCTGCCTGCGATATACTTTTCAACTATTATCAAAATTTATCATTGTTGCTGAGCTAATCATGCCACGAAACGATCTAGATCTAATTTTAAAAAAAGTAAAGTGTGGCAGCTTTTTCATCTCTGATGTGGAGCCGTCTTGGAGGCTTTTATCCTGTCTCAGATGATTCGGTGCAGAATGATTATTCTGATCAAAACAAGTCCCTCTTGGGCTTTGATATTTGCAACTGTGATAAGATATACGTTTTATATAATGTGTATGTGTATTTGTGAGATGGGCCGCTGGCTTTGGTTTACGTTCATGCGAGCGTAGGTTTGCTCTTGTATATCAGAGTATGTAATAAAAACATAATCATCAAGGTCCTAAAACTGTAGTGCATTGTAAATTCTGTTCTTCGAACAGGAGACCATAATATACTTTTTGAGGAGTGGATCTTACTATCTGCCTTTAGGAACAGAAACAGTAAGGGAAATTGAATTAAGAACCGGTAGTAAAAGGTAACATGAATCAGAGGGAAAAGAGATTGAGGGGAATACCCAAATGAAGTACATGAACTGCAGAGACTGAATTAGCAGAGAGAATGGGACTGAAATCTTAAATTTTAGTCTCCGGTTTTTATTTCATTCCGAGCGTAGGGGCAGGTTTGTTGGGTAAATCGTTCTATCATTGGTCTTTTGTTGGAAAACAATCCAACGTTACAGCGTGCATTGGGAAAAGACAAGAGGGCGATTTACGTGCCTGTGAAACTGTGTGATGCTGCGGAGCATAGCGCGCCTGACACTAGTGCTGGGCGGTAGGTTTCCTATTATTGAAAGCTAGGAATCGTAGGAATCGACTCCGAACCCAATTACTTTCTAATGATGTGATTTCTTCCGGTGGTTACCTGGTTGGCTCCGAACAACCTTGATTTCGGAACACTACGAAGCACCAACTTTTTTCCCCAAAAAAATAAATTCTTAAAAAAAACTAGAGAAAAGGATTTTTTTAATGATTAAAGTAACAGGGAACCGCTGGTTTAAGTAAAAAGGAGTCGGAATTTTTCTTCCGTATCATTAATCGTGAAAATCGGTTCCAGAGTCGATTCTTCTCCCAGCTCTACCTGCCACCGAATAACTCCTTTCTGTCTAAGCTTTATGCTCGAGGGGGCTGCCCTGTTTGTCACAGGTCGATTAAGTATTTGAATATTGATGACAGTCATAATTAGACTCTACATCACTTTAATACTGTTGTTGTAACGATTTTTATTCTCCATCTTCAAATTGTTGGTCGTAGAGATAGTCCCTCTAAAATGTCAATTCAGCTTGAGTTGTTCAATATTTTTTTCTCTATTTGTGCAAATCAAAACAAATTTGAATTACTCTGTAAAATTTCAATAATGAATATTCTTTAGTTAAAAACAATTGAAAAAATATAATTCAATCCATAGAATCAATCAGTCATTAATTTACTCTTTTTGAGAGTGTCAGTGATAACTTCCATCATGCAGGGCACATTCGAGGCTTGTGACAAACGGGGCCTATGATAAACTGCTAGGCCCGTGACAAACTCGCATTCCTCCATGCTCGAAACACAAGGTTTCGGGATAGGGTTAAGGGCCAGCTGCTGTTTCTTTCATTTTAGATAAAGGACATAAATCTATAGATGTACCTTATTTATGATGTTGTACTTTTAATAAGGAACTATGATTAAATTTCTACTAACAGACCTTTAAAACTTCTGTAAAGTGACCTATAATTGTTCAATATTCAACATTACTTTGAGTATCTAGTCCGCTCGAAAAGTATTAAATAGGTACGGGTACGCTTTCCATTTTCAACCAAGCACTGGCTTTTTCAGCATAATTATTTCCTCTAAAACATGTACATGGCTCAAAACATAATTTTTTCAAGTAGTTTTAAGTCTATACATAATCCAAGGTTAATGTAGCATACACCGTATTATTAAGTTGACCTAAAACTTATGTCAAACGAGTAACGTTTTTTAAATTTAGTTTTGAGGTGTATAGCCCTTCAAATATAAATACACACAAACACACACACACACACACACACACATACACACACACACACACACACACACACACACACACACACACACACACATCATAAATGAGATAGAGAGGTAAAGAGAGAGAGAGGGGGATACGAAGAGAGAGAGAGACAAAGAGAGAGACAGACAAACTGACAGACTGACAGGCAGACAGAGAGACAGAGAGAGAGACAGAGAGAGAGAGAGGGGGGGGAGGGGTAGAGAGAGAGAGAGAGAGAGAGAGAGAGAGAGAGAGAGAGAGAGAGAGGGGGGGTACTATTTACCCCATTAATGAGCAGGACTGGATTTTTTTTCCTGCATACTAATTTTTCATTTACTTTTTTTTCCAGACGGCAAACTTGCCCCTTCCCAAACAAAGCACCAGTTGTTGAAACGCTGAGCGAGTGACCAAGTCCAAGTGACCAACTTGTGATCAGTCTTGCGACAACCTCAGGAGGTCAATTTGCCAACCAGGACGACAGAAAGAGAAAGAGAAAGAGAGAAAGAAAAAGAAAGGACTCAGCAGTCAGTTGCAAGAGTAGGTGGGAAGGAAAGAGTGCCAATCTGAAGAAGAAAATACGATTTACTTGTCGTAAGTGTACGAGACTCGGAGAGCAATCTAGGAGCGTGCTGAAGCCGAATGAAAGCTTGGCACGGTTTGTCGCTACACTAGCCCAAAATAAATCGTCCTGTGTGGTGGTGGTGGTGGTGGTGGTGGTGGAAGGGAGGAAAGGTGTGAGGGTGGGGGGTGGAGGCGAGATGGTGCCGATGTTTGCGTTTTGCTCACAATGATCGCAATCAGGCTATTACCGCACAGTTTATAGGATTTGTGTCGATGCCGGAGAGTGTGGCCAAGAAAATTTGGTTGAGACGTGCGGAATTTCCTCATTAGATCGCTTGTGAGTGCTGCACCACACGGGGAGCTGGCATTAATGAGTGTAGAGAGCATAGTATTTTTTATGTGGCGTCAACACAACTTGAGCAATGAAGGCTTCTACGTGAATTCTGTGTGGAATACAATTAGCATACAAACGCTCATACATATGTAACTGCCATGAATGAATGCATGGCAATTTGCCAGCCTATTCAAGATCATTAAGGCATAAACACAGACAAAGGAAAAGTCTGATGGGGAAAAAAGCACACGTTCAAATATACTCGGACTTAAGTTTCACTTGCCTCACGAGAAAAATACTCCCTATCATTATAACATAATATTTTAACTAACAGCCGGTTCCTGCTTAGCACTAGTAAAAATCTAAA